GGCGGAAACTCGGGTTGGACGTGGTGGACAGACCTGTTACAAAAAGGATAATGAAACCAATGTCAACTGTTTGCCTGTGAATGGTCGGAAACACTATATTCATGTCATCCGCTGTATGAGAGTTCGTTCAAATTTTCTTTTCTTGATAAAGGAGATATGAAAACACTGAAGAATGCAAAAACTGCCCTTAGCAATATTGACCAATGCTTGGTGAGCACCGCCGCGTATTCACCGATAAGTCCTTGGGTTTTTAACTCTGACACTTCAGGTTCAGTGTCCGTCTCAAGAGTTTAAACCTGGGCAACTAAACCAAGAAGGAAACTTGGGATACCAGCTTCAAGGAAAGTGCTCGGGCAAAAAGAGTCGGAATCGGGCTATGTCTCGGCATTATAGCACGCAACCCAGTACCTAGCTGCAACTCCTAGAAGCTCGATCATTCCTGAACAGAAAGACAGTTAGCAGTGAAGTACACATGAGTCGAGTGAAGAAATACTCGCATACTAAATTCATCAACTTTACGTGTAGATGGTGATCACCTTTCCAGTTCTTGGGATTGTCTTCCGGATGAGTGCTCATCTAGAAATAACCTCCTCCATTTCAAAATCACACTAGTGCTCATCCAATCAGCCACTTGGGTCGAAACTAAACTCGGATGTCACTGAAGCCTAGATGAAACGTAACCTTGAACCTCTATATCTTACCTGATGTGCGATATGTAAATTAGATCCATTGGTCTTCGTTTATTGTGGGGAGTAAGGAACAGGAGCCCAGCCGATGGATAGTGCCATTCAGACAAGGGATTTCTGGGGCGTGAGTTTTTCTAAATAACCGGCTACACACTGTAGCCATAGAGGGGTATTTTGGCTGAGCTAAACAAGCCATTAGGTCTACGTGTGTTAAATACAAGCACTTCTGCCCAGGTAGACGACTCGTCCGTTGTAAGTTCCATTTGTGTTCATCTAGCCAGCTTGCTAGGCATGAAGGGGTCAATCGATGCTTCTCTAGCTATGAAGTTAAGCTCTTCAGGCAACTCTCCGTGTGAAAATGCGTCATTTCACCAGAAAATGTGCATGCAATTGCCTGTTGGAACCCGAGGATTGTAAGGCTACCTACTCGCAAATTCAGTACTCGCAACCCTGACTTACCCAGTGTACAACTACCTAGATTAAAGGATACGGTGGTGAGACTATTTGTTGAATGCGACATGCCAAATGCTCACGGAGCATCAGAGGGGCACCATAAAAGAGTTGTGTGCAACCAGAATACTCCTCGATTGGGCAGTAAGGAACTTTGTACTTGAGAATCGTCATCTGTTATACATGCTGAACGGGTTTCAGCCACATTCACAGAAAGTAATACTGGATGCCTGGAATGGTGTCGGTGGCAGACATTATAGAAGCTAGATTCTGAAAACGGATGTTATCACGGACTCAATTCTGACGCTCAAGGGTGCTCACTTTCTGTACATCACAGAGGGTCAACCTCGAACATCTCAGTAGTCGCAAGATGGACTCGCAAGCGGTTTTACCACTGTCATTTCGATCAAACTTCAAGTGAGGTTTCTTTAAGATACTTAGCCACGGCAAATGGTGGTAAAACTCGGTGTTAACTTTCAGTTTCGGCCCAAGCTTACGGATCTGGTAACTAACCGCCCAGTTTGCCTCTTGATACTTCATGCCTCGGTTCGAAACCACAGGCACTGTTGGAGTACGGATTAATAAAAGGGAAGCTGGTTACAAGTAGGATTTCTCAACTTCATCCTCAACCCATGATACACCCTGAAACATTCGTTTGTTCTGAAGCGTTTTCCAACGAAATCCTTCAAACTAAAGTAAAGACTCGGCATTAATGGAAGCTCTGTGGAAAAGAATCTGATCATAACCGTTCAGAGACCAGAGAAATCGACGTAAAGTTTGGGGCGAGTGGGGAATGGGCGGGCTTTTCAGACAAATCGTACAGGCAACCTTCAGGCTTATCCGAAGGACTCATTCCGATTCACTTTATAAAGCGAAAGGAACCCAGAAAACATATTTTCCGCAGGTACCTCAGATACCAGTGTCCTAGTGGTCGGAAGATAGAGAAAGCGTTTGGTGCTGCATTGGTTGAACATCCAAAAAACTAATAGACCAAATTTATCCAAACGTCGGTGGATTAAACCGTTGTATTTAGACTTCAAAAACCGCTTTACTTGAACTTTCAGATGTACATGACACTGAAACAAGACCAACTGTACCTGGTTTTGGGTACGATTTATTGTCTATGGTCATACTGAGATAACCTGACAACGTCAGAGATTGGTGCACATCAAATAAATAGAAATATATCCCTAAAGAGCCAACGAAGCTTTGTATAGGTGATTTTCCAGGAGGCAGTGACAAGCCCGCTGGACCCCAGGTAATGAGCAGACGTCCCATTCAGTCCGCTTCCAGATCTCATCCGGCACCATTCAGATAAGCCCTAACCCTCAGAGAAAAGGATACGGTGCACGATGTTCCCAATTTTCGAAGCAGTAGACCGACAATCTTCTTTCAGTGCTGATGGCCGTTAGCAGTTTACCCAGTGGTCTCAAATGCAGCTGAATGCCTGATGGACGGGGGAATCAGAAACCACCCCAGTAGGAATATTTTCCATGGGGCTCACCATGCCCCACTTAGGCACAGGTTATGCGCTTCCCGAAACTTCCTGGCATAAGGGTTTTGAAACCCGCTCTGTGCCGTTTCTGGACTCCATTAAGACCTGGTCATCAAAAACCCACTCCTTTCCCCTGTTGCTCCCCATTATAAGAACACAGGAATTCCGTTATAAGTTTTTCTTGTGCATCTTCCATGCGGGACATCATAGTTCACGGGGAAGTATTCAAATCTTCCATGAATCTTATGGAACAATGGTACGCCCGATATTCAAGTTCTCACCTCTTCTTGTTCTCCCCACGACTAGCATAATGTTTTGGGGGCTGATCTGAGCATTAGAATGTTCTAGGATAGATCGAAATCAGGGCGATGTGACCTCTATTTTAGATATTTTTTGGAAACATTTGTAATCGAACTCTACAAGCATTCATTGCAGGTATGCGAGTGCCAGACTATCATAGCACGCAATTTGCACGTGGCAACTGTCAAACTCAGTTTCCTGGGACACTTCAACCCTAAAACTCACTTTGCCAAGAAGATTCTTTCAAGTATGATTATAATACACAGGCTCACAACATTTACTGAGGTACTAATAAATTGCTGTGTTGGTCAAATGCCCTTACAGTGTAGGTTACTTCAATCTCCACCTCTTCAATCACTGGAATGTATGTATTGCATGTCATCGCGTGTGAAGTTTATGCCAGGCATTATGACGTCGATGCGCTAATTTGCCTTCATCAGAGCTGAGGACTATTCTTTTATATTCTCCTCAATGTTTGCGTCAGGTCAAGTCACCATGCGAAGTCAGCCTATCATTTCGACCTTTGATTGGTGTCAACAGCTGCGGGTTATCAGCAGACAGAAGAACTTCAGAAAAAACTTACGCTAATGAAAGTCATGGAGATAAGGGACAGACGAGTGAATCTCAGGGAACTCAACTCGAACACTTCATCTCTCTGAACTTGGCTAGTCTCTCCCGGGTTTAAGAGAGGTATTCGCCTAAGTAAGATGAAAGATGAACAAATAATGATGAATCGACTCTTAGCAACCTGATTTTCTCCATCAGACTGACGCGTTTGTGTTGTGAAAGCTAACGTGCCTAAATTTGTGGCAAACACATCTTGTTGGCTGACCGAGTGAGATTTCGGTATTTTATCAACTGAAAGGCCGATACTAGTGTGAATTATTCAAAAGATGCACACTAGACTGAAGGGGCACCATGCTGTTCACACAAGCAGCTAGGAGTGCCAGAACCAAACTGTTCCCAAAACTGCTTAGGATTTGTGTCCAGTCTCACCTAAAGCTACATAAAGCCATGGCCAACCGCACGGGAAATTTATTGAGTAGGTCTAAAAAACCAGTCGTTGGAATATGATACAAGTCATGCGAATACAGCCCACAGAAAGTGGATGCTAGCGCTCTCGGCCGATATCTGTCAAAATTACCGAATAACGGCAATAAGATATGTGGTAATCCAAATGATCGAAACAGGAAAATATTAACCAAGTAGCCCTAAAGCAATGATCGATGAAATCGGGAAATAGCCCCCGAACAAAACGAGAAAAGCGAAAACAGCGATACTCCTCCTCCACCGACAAATGAACTCAATCGAACATCCTAGACTGCCACTGGTGTGATTATGTCAGCTGACAGCTTAAAACTAAGGCTTAATGATGATGCGTCTTCCCACGAACCGCACTGAGTCAGTGACGAGATGAGCCAACCTAAAGAACAGAAAATATGCTCTAACACTCTACTTCGATGCGTCAGCTACACGCCGTTTCTTTCGTGATTTGTCGTCACCTGTTTCAGTAGCATCACTGTTCAAGGACATATTACACTAATACCAAATTGCCAACAATGATACGGAGACAGTAGAAGTTGATTGCCGAAAACCCATGAGACGCGCTACCAGCGTCCTTACATTGGGCGACAGTTGGTGGCAATATAAGACCTAGATTTCTCTCACTAGGAATTTTTAGACTGATGATAAAGGCTATGTATGAGCTTTCATTATTAATTTCCCAGTAGGTCTTCAGACTTATCAAGCTCTGCATTGGATTGGCCAGCTTATGACGCGGACACCAACCCTTCTAGGACAGAGTTCCACCAGTTGGTTGATCAAAGTCAAAACCAGTACTCTGTGGATACTACATTCGTCCTTTGCTACTGTACTTTCCTGCTTTATCCTTTGAGGTGATCTAACCCGCTTGAAAGACTTTTTTCCTACTTACTCACCAATAAACTTGTAATTTTCTTAAATTTCGTAATTTCACAAAGATGTCAGAAATCACAGATTTGTTTGTCCCTTTAGGTGGAAGTTTGTCGTCAAGGCTATATTGTTTTATTGGCTGCGCGGTGGACTACTGAATGAGTTGTGCAGTTGACTTGGAACTGACGTCAGATGAGGTTGCTAGGTTGAAGAATGCATTTAAGGATCCAGAGTTTCGAAAACTCTTCAGGGATTATGCTGAAGAAATATCTGACCCTGCCAATAAACAAAAGTACGCCAATATCCTAGTTAAATATTACCACTCATGCTTGAATACTAGTATTAGCTGTAAAAATGTGGTTTTGGCAGTATGCCACTTTAAAAATGTGGGTGTCTTCCCTACCAGAAAAAAACCCTGCTTCTCACACTTTGTAGCGTTATGTCTGACTGCCATTGTAACATATGTAGTCTGGGTATATGTGGAAATTGTCACCTCCCAGCCAGCATTTGCTTCGAGCTCACATTGTAAGTTGTGGGCAAAAACCCGTAAAGTGTTCTTCAGATGCAGATGGAGAGACTCACGATATTCCTCGAAATTTCCAAACATTTTACCCGGAACTGTCAAAAGTTACAAAGTGCACCCAATCTGTATGTAATATCCCACACACCCGGAGTTCACAAAGTGTAGAGTGTTCCCTAGGTTTTGGAATAACATATATCCACAGTTCTAATAAGTTGTGTTTGGTAATACTATCACTCATGTTTCATTACCTCATGTGTTTGTTCATTTCAAAAGAATGTAATGGAAACGGCCAACCGAAATACTTCAGAAATTTAGGGGGCATCTGAAATTTGGTAGGTGCGGCCGAAGTAAATGCTGGTTAGGGTGTGTGTAACTGAGTTGATGCCTAGTGTTGGGCTGCTTAGTTGTTTCTTCTCACATTGCTATTGGAAAGTTTTGTAACTAATTAGATTGGTTACAGCCTTTGATAATGTAGAGTGGTAAGATATTGGGCTATGGGACTCGAAAGAGGATTCGGAAGTATTGAGTCCACACAGCCTTACGTTTCACGCTTATTTTCAATGTCTGGCTCCACACCCGACTAAACGTTTTGGGAAACTACTTCAAAATCTTCCTATGTATTTCATCTTGCTCTATAATTTCTCAGTTTTGGGGTCGATATTTTTGCTTTCTTTTAATATGCAAACGATTTAAATATAGAATAAAGGATCGCTTCAAAATAGATTGGTTCACTAGTGCTAATGATTTCTATTTCCCGCTCATCTACGTAGTGACTGCTACTAAATTATATTGACTACGAAATGCTTCCAGTTTTCCAGCTGTCGACTTATATACCTTTGGTTGACATCTTCCCCGTTTATTTTGGCAAGTATTTCTAGTTTTGTGCATATTTGCACTTATTTTGAGTTAAATCACCACTTAGTTTGCATAGAAAGTTAATTAAGTCTCGAAAAGTCAGCGACCTACCTTGTGTTAATAAAATGGATCAGTCAGTGTATATACACATGTACTTGCCGAGGCGGTATTGCATAGCGAGGCAGTTGACAATAGCACATTTCAGAATCTCATTCGCATTATTATATCATATGTTTTGCAGTTTTAACTTCCTGAAGTTGAGATGTGTTGTAAGTTACTCATGAGGCACGTTTGGATTCTAGATATGGGTTTGTTTACAGAACTTTGCTTTAAACTCATGTGTATGTCAGCTATGTCAGCACGCACTTTGGTTCGTGACAGGCCAAGATTATGAATAGACTTTCGCTCTTCCAGTTCGTCATGTTTCTCTTAGAATCAGCTGCAAATGCTCTAGTACTGTCATACGTTGAACTTCTATTGTCATTATTGGTTTTCAATCAGGAAGTAACATGAGGTGAAGGTAAAATCAAACCTCGATGGAAACGTTACTTAGGTAACTATGTTCCAGTTCCACTCAACCACAAGTTATTTATTGGTAGACCTATGCAACTGTAACACGTTACGAGTAGTATACATACGGTTACGAAGTTAGTAGTCATCCTCAGCCTGCCACTAGTGAGCAGAGCCCTCATTGCATATAAAGTGGGGTAAAATATTTTGCTTTGAGGTGGTCTTACATGCAATTTGATATTATCTTCATTTGAGTCTAACCATGCTCTAGGAGTTTTCATAACAGCCCCTGTAAGTGATAGATGACTGTTTCCTGAACCTTTCTACATTTATAGCCACTTCTAGATAGCAACTGTGTCATATCCAAAATAATAGTGCATACTTCGTAGTTGTTTTCATTGTGTGGTAAGAATGAGATTTTTCTCTAACTTCTGCTTCATCTTCTATCCATCTTTTGTTTAAATAACTATCAGCTATACGATAACTAACATAAGGCTGTCAGTTACTGAGAGCCAATCGTTATTGATGGTTCATCTTTCCCATGTGCTTAACATGTCTGGTATTATCCATTTCACCTTTTTTTTAACTTTCAATCACTTCCCTGAAGGCAACTATTTCCAAAAACCAAAAGTTTCCCAATACTGTCTGACTCAAAATAAAATAGGCAGCTATTCTGGAAACCTAAACAGATATATGGTATGACAACTAGATAATGAAATCTCAACCTATTAAGTTGGTCTCCACATTTTAACCATAACCTGCCTTCATAAGAAACGCTTTTAGAACGAGTGACCTATGTGGAAATCGAAATCTCTACAACAATATGTATGTTCACTCAGGGGGCCATGTCTTTTATGTAAGAGCTTTGGATACTACCCATCTACTCAGACTTCTGTCGATTGAGCAGGGCTCGGACCTGTGACCCATCAGTTGAAATCTGACTTCCTAAACCAGTGACCGACAGTGGTCAGTCTGAATGCATGCGCGATGCATATTCTTAGTGTGGTAAGCTAACTGCGATACTGTTTGATCATAGTAGAAAATTGGCTTATTAGTTTGAAAACCCTACTTTCAAGCATCGAGTCGAGGTTCGAGTCCTACTCCATCTACGTCGATCTTGGCGATTGGGTTGTATCATAAGTCCTCATATTCTACTGCATAAACATGTACCGATTCGTTTTGTGTTATTTCTTATTTATTGCACAAACGTCTTGTGAGAATATTATTTGGCTTTCAGTTGTGGTAAATGATTTCTGTAGGAAGAAAACCGAGCACAGAAACCATGTGTACATTCGTACAGTAGGCTATTGGCGACACCTATTGCGGGCTAATAATACTGCCTGATTGTCGAGACCTTGGAAGGTAAGATAAAAAACTGGGACCCATTACCCACTGGCTGAAAGTCGAGTGCATATACCGATGATTCACAGCTCCATCGATCGTGATACAACTACTGTAAGAATGTGATTTTGAATAGGACGGTTGAGTGTTTGATGTGACATGCTGGCTCTTCCATGATCCTCCGAAAAATATTGGTACATTCCTTCGAGATACCTTTCTGTCTGAGTGGCTTCGTACTAGGGTTATTCGTCTTGAAGTGAGGAAAAGCTGTTGTAATTGTATTGTAACTAACTACGCTTTCAAAGGTAATGTCTTTTGTCTATGGCTCATTGGTTTAGGCAGTTGACTTTCGACTAGTGGGTCACGGGCTCCATAACCACTCCATCTATCAGGGTTTGTGCAACCAGGCACTATCATCAGCTCTCAACTTGTGTAGCCCGTTGTCTACTGCATGAACATGTATGTGGTCGCTCAGTGAGTCTCAGTATTGTTTTTCTGAATGCTTGTACACATAACAAGGTTACACCAAAGGATAGTTCAATTTATTACTTCAGTTTTGATAGCAGGGTTTTGAACACCTTAAAATGGTCTCAGAATAGTATAGACTAATTATTTAGTTTGCTCAGCTATTCAGTTTGTATTGACTTGTTAATGGAAGCCACTTTAAAAGTACTGACAGTAATTGTGATCACAACGGTCATTACAATATAGGTATGATGATATTTGCATACGGTGATAAGAATACATGTACTTTTTGAAGTTATTGCCGTTACTACTAGTGATATACTATTGACTGAAATTCTACGAATATGATCAATAGAATTAGGTCAGCACTCAGGAAATTTGTTGCCCTCTGGTAACCAGTCAACGTAGTTTTCAAATTGTCACAATGACTTGGACGTATCCACTTTTTACTACCCTAAAGATCAAATATCTTACTACTATCTACCTCTTGTGTAACTCCGGGATCTTGCTACAGACCCATAGTTGAATTTAAGCTAGCTGCATTTCACTCTGAGCAACTAGATATTTCCACTAACCCATACAGATGTAGTTCAATAGCCTGAAACAGATCCGTGTATTAAATTTCTGACTTTATTTATCCAAACATACTGTTCCCTTTTCAGTAATACCCTTCGTATTCACTTTTGCATCTTTCTACTTTTGTTGATTTTCTGTTTGTGTGGTTTTTTTGAAGTGTGGTAGCCTGAAGCGAAGCTTCCTTTTGTTTTACTGCCAAGTTATTTCCTATTCTTGAATATTCAAAAACTCCAGTTCATTTGATACGAAGTAAATTTGTGCCTCATAGATTTTCCGGAAATCGAATACAAAGATTATTTGATCTACTCCAAATAGTTCTTTATAGTTCCTCAAATAGTCGGTAACTAAAAGGAATAATTTAGGATGGCATTGTTTACTTATTTCCACTCTTTTTCAACCATCCAGATATGAAGATGAAATCCGGTTAATGGAATTGGAGCAGGGAATAGATGCACAGTTTGTCAATCCTATACCAGGACATTGTTTAAAAACACGTCATTGGCCAGAGGTTCCGCAATTTTCGGAAAGAGACGTCGTTTTTAAAGAGAAGGAAGAACCAACACGCGAGTCCGTAAAAGTTTTCATAAATGTCTGTAAATCTGATAAAGTAGAATGTCCAGAAATGAAATCGATGAAAGGCAACTCATCTGTACAAGGTGGTAGTGGAGTCTACTGGAGTCTTCCTCATTGCTTTACTCCTCCTCGTGAAGACATTGATAAGGCAAAAAAGCGTGCTATGGTAAGCTCATCTACAAAATACCATAGTTCCTCAAAAACTATGTTCGACAAACAGTTTTAAATTCCTTGTTTCATTTTTTCACATTCACACTGGTTAGGTTTATGATGTAGCGTTCCATCCGGAAGCATTTGAATTAGCCAATTCGTCTATTGCTTTTAAAAGATTGTTGAACTCAACAGCAATCGAAGGTTTGCAGAAGCAATACAATTTATATTTTGGAAAAACTTTTGCACAGGCATTACAGTTGTTCAATTACAAAAAAAATTCCCAAGCGGAGAATTCCCATAGCAAATCACCTAGTACCAGTTGTACTTATGATGATGATTTTCTTAAGGCTGTCCATCTGTTGAAGGGTGTACCATACAAAGGCATAGCACGACCAACAGTTATTAGACGGCGGCGTTCAGATTACGAGCAACGCCAAGCCGAAATAAGAAAGCGGGAAGCTGAAGATTTAAAGTCTTGCCAAACTACGGAACAAAGGCAAGCGATTAAAAAACTCTCCTCCTATCCAAATTGTGGAGATGCTGAGACTTCAAATGACAAAGAAGGTGAGTTTTTAAGGTAAATATATATTTTCATGGTTGAAATTCACCGATTTCACTGTTCTTGTGCTCATAATCTGCTTATAATTAGATTTTATCCTTAAACTTTTATGTAAGGTGAACAAACTTGAGTCTCAACAACTGAGTAATAGACAGGAACTAAGTAACTAGACTGCTCATTCAATAAAGTCTTCGAAGGTCCCAGATTTGCATAAAACACTGTTTCTTAATTAAACATTTTAAAATTGTTTTCGTGCCATTTGTGGCATGGGCAGTAGTTAATTTTTGCCCCCATCTTCAAGGTAATTCGCTGACTGGTTAATGCTTACTTTTACTATGTTAGTGTTCCAAGTTGGTGGACAAGGTCATATTTCATGTATATATACACACGTGTTTTTAATAAGTTGTCTATTCTCGGAGGAATAGAGCTCATCGCATCACTTTTGTTATACCTTAGTAGTTTAGCCACTCAGTCCCCAACAGTTAAATCATAAAAGTAAATACCTATTCCGCCTCTGGTCGGTAGACATTTTTAATATGGGCCTTTAGACATACTATTCATCATGTATCTACCAACTTGAGTTATTTCTGTTGACTACATAACTGAGAAGTTTTGTCCAATCCTCGAAGTTAATGGTGTCATCTTATAGTTTGCTTGTTTTACTTTTAAATATTACTTTGTTCTATGTAATTCAGGGAATGAGCCGTACAATCTAATGCGATTAAATTGAGTTTCCGAAACATTTTCAGGTGAATTATATTCCTTCTCATGGAGTTTGTTATTCGTTGTCGATAGTAAATATAGTCAAGTTCAAATTTGGCAATCAGAAACTATGATCCCTTAAAAATATTTCTGATGCAAAGCAAATCTTCATTGCCATTACTCATTCAAAGAATGTCAAACGATCTGATCACACATATAATTCACCAGGCAGTTTTAACTTCTTAGAAGTAGTTTTCAATGTAATTAGCTTAAGAATAAATCTCGATCCACTTGTAAACCACTCAGTTTGATACTGTCGCATTAGCGTCAAAATTTAAGCTAAACAGCAATCCGGTATTTCTTTTATCAATGAAATAATAAGTGCAGATTCATATAGGTCGTAATTGTTGAATGTAAAGTTACAAATAAACGCAAAACGGATATCGATAAGTATTTTGAGGACAAGTCAGGAGGTAGGGAAGAAAAAACTGTAATAATCAGACACTCAGCTAATAACGATCTCCGACAGTATGTGGGAAACCCATTTTAGTCATTATTATTATTTTTGTTTTTATGGTTATTTTGTGAGATACGCAGGCGAGTATGTTTGATTCAGTCTTTCAGTCGTTTTTACCTAAAAACCACCAATTTTTCTGTTTCTACAAGCTTTTGGCAAAAACCACTTTCACAAAGCTTAAGAGTCGTTAACTCATTACTATTACAAAGATTATTAGTTTCGTAAGTAAAATCTATCTTACGAAGTCAGTTTAGTGATGGACTAAATAAACATGACGAGAAAAAAAGATTTGTGAAAAGACTGCACTACCTAACTAATGTAACTCCTTAAATAGTCTATCCTCAGTGATTATTTATGACAAGAAAGTGCAGTGATGCTATGGTTTCTGTCTGGTTAGCGTCATTGATTAGAATATGAAAGTTTAGTCTGTTGGTCGACAGAAGGTCTGAAAAACTATCTACTTATTTATTTTAAACTCAAATACACTAAAGGATATACATCACTTAGTTTTTCATCTGATTGAATGAAAACTAACAGGGTACTCAAAGGCAAGGGTCAACGTTTATTATGAGTATTAGTCTTAACTGCAAATACGGAACTTGAAAGAATAGTCTTTATTCAGCCATAAGGAGGCTTGTTCATTAAACTAAAAAGTAAGTCGTATCATAAAAAATCGTTTCAATTCCTGCTGATTATATTCCAAGTACCACCCAAACAAGAGTGAATCATGTAACTTTCTGCAATTGGTTATTCAGGAATTACAACCGTGAGTGTTCATAAGGAATATGCTAAAGACACATTTTCTTTAGTTGCTTAAAAGTGTACTGATTCAAGTTCACACAGTTAGCAACACCAAGGAGGAAGAAAATCAAAGAAGCAAACCAAAAAGATGTGAGTCAAAAGGAAACAATTAAGTAGTAAGGAATAAAATGCTCATTATTTCGGGGTAGGTAAAGATTGAATATGTTTGACGCTATTGTCTTCGTTTTGAGACTCTGGTAAATAAAACTTTACTGTATCTAATGAGTAGGCTTATATACTCCAGCTGCTCATTTTCTACTCTTACATTGTAGGTTTCCAACTGTTGAACTGTAACACCCAAATAACTCCAGCTAGAAAACCAACGCTTATGAATAGATTAGAATGACTATCAACGATTTCCTAGACTAATGCTATTTTCTGATCTGGTTGTGTTTCTATATGGACCTTGTCCTGTAGGTGTTTTTTGACTTAAAAGTGGGACAAAGAGCGGGCTTTTTGTCTCTAAAAACATGACAAATCTCTAAAACTATCCTTCTGCTTTACGACGTTTCGAAGTAGTTACAAGCACTAATCCTATCACAAGATGATGTTTGAAGATTGAGAAATGTAGCTATTATAGTTTGGTAAATATGCTTCATTTTTTATGTTTAAATTTTAGTTCACATGAGATCCAACGAAATAAATGGACCCATTAAACCAGACTATACTATAATTTATAGCTCAGATTTCGACTTGAGCAACTGTCGAGATTCTAATGATGTAAATCCTCTTCGTCCACCAGACCGTTTGAAAGTCAGTGTTAAATTGCCTGGTCTGAGCTCATCGACATGTGTTGATCTGGAAGTAACGAAGACACATTTACACCTGAATGTAAGTTTTTCTTACTTTTTTCACGTCAATTGAAGTGACAGCTCAGACTTTTAGAATACCTTTACTCTATTGTGTAGCCTATACATTTACGTAAGCGATAACTACTACTTGCCACGGTGGTGCAGCTTGTGACCCATTGCAACCCAAGGAGCGATGTTGCGGAAACGTTTCAGTTACAACACTATGATGACAATATCTCGGCTGCTTCTTACGTAGCGTTGGTTAGATAGTTATAGAGATACGACAACACATCCGGCAAAAACCTACGGACTGCATTGTCTTCTGCATAAACAATGCTAAAGATCGCAGGCAACCCTCAGGAAAAGGTTAAAAAGGTTCAATGGATCTCAGCAGCATCTTATGGAATAATAGATGCAAATGAACGTTTTCTTGCAGGTTCCACACAATATGAGCGAAAGCAACTCAAATGTAGGTTGACAAATATTTTATGTACTGACCGTGAGTAGTGATGTGCGGTGAAGGCTAAAGAAGTGGAAGAAGCAGTAGACAGTTATTTCGACTTATCAAGGGAACTAGGGTGAACACGTTAATGGTTAGTGAGACTATCGAAGAAGAATAGGCCTCCAATTCACTTGAAGAAGTGACTACTCGCATTATAGGCTGAACACTTCTAGAGACAGTTCAACCGTTTTGCAGCTACTATTCGGCTACCAGCTATCCTGTCACATTCTGAGTGTAGTATTGGTATAGGGCTTCCTACTCTTACAGAAGTTGAGAAGCCAGTAAGTAACCTGAAATGAGGAAGTTATTCAGCAGGCCTCGATGGGCTAGTACTAGAGGTACTTAAGAACGGTAATCGAGGATTACTGGTTAAAATTACTCTGGTGTCAGTTAGAGTATGTGAATCAGACATGATCCTCTCTGACTGTCCCTAACCACTGATTGTTTCAGTTTTCGCGAACAATATAAAGTCCTTCTGTGATAACCGCAGGGGAATCGGTCTGACGAACGTTGGGTCTTTGATCGTCTATTATCTAACCATTAGACGATTAACTAAAGCTCAGGAATACATAACCTGAGAGAAACTAGGTAGGATTCAGACCTGTTTGTAGGTGAATCAAACAGATCCCCACCCTTCGAAGCGATTTAGAAAACATTAGCTGCCTCTTTTAACCCGAAGATCGCATTCGATCCTGTCAATCAAGAGGTCGTATTGCAATGACTCTCATTGAAACAGGTGCTGAGTAGAGTACGTCACTGTTTAAGGCTCTGTGTGCCAGTTAGAGCTTGTGGTGAGAGATAAGGTGAGTTATGCTCGTTGAGGATGTCTACTATTTTCATCCCTACTTAGCTTTGTTATGTACCTACTTATGGACGCCTCCCTCTCGCCGTCTGATTTCATAGGGGTGGAACATGTATGTCACAGGCGAATCATTAGTAGATCTAGGGTAGTTGGATGGCATACTCTTGCTAGGTGAAGATGCCAGGACTTCTAAACAACTAGAGAAGCAATTCGAGAATGTTTCGGATGCCTTTCTCATCACCCAAGTGCAAATTATTGTTCCAGGACTGGTCTGCCCTGATGCCTTTCATAATAATATGAAGTGAAGTGGTTGAGCGCTCTGACCACTTCATTTACCTAAGAAGTCATATCAGCCCTGATGCCTCAGTGACCGACGAAATCTCCACACGAATACACAGTGCTTGCTTGGTTTTTCCAACTTTGGGCATCTGTGATGCTAGCATGATATCCAATCGCCTATTAAGGGTCGAGTGTAATGCGCTGCAGTTCTCTCTGTTATAATATATGGGTGTGAAACAGCAATTAGAGATGTAAGGATATCGAAGACTTCAGGTCTCCAACCACCATTACCTTCGTAATACAGGCTGCATGTCGTGTTGTCACCAAGTCAGCAATGCAGAAGTCAGGTGTAGAGATTTCGGCAGAAGATAGGAGTCAGTTGATGTAGTGAGTTGTCAACAATTGAGGCGACCTGGATGTGCTGTGCATACCTGGTCATCGGTCACGTCAACACAATGTTCACCAAAGTAAGTTTAGACTGAACCAAGATTATTTGTGACCAGACTAAGATGTGGTGTCAGTCCACTTAGTTGCTGACTGTTGGTGTGAGCTGTGTAGTGGAATGTAAGCTTTCCATTTGGGGTTTACATGACAAATGAAATCGGTGGTTTCAGTGTATGCAATGTCACTCATTGGAGCATATGTTCCCACTCATCATCTTCATCCTAGCCATTTTGTCGCATTTGCTTTTTGTTTTACCCCCTCCTTTTTGTCATGAATTTGTGCAGCGTTTGGTCACTAGGTTATATTTCTCTAGCTTTAATCTTGATTTCTCTTACCTTCATGGACTGATGCGAGGTGTGCCAAATCTGTTTCACACAGAAATTCCAGTTACCATGTTGATATTGTCTGACTGGCTGTATGATTTGCTTTACTTCTTTTATGGTGTTAGCAAGACCAAGGAACTAACTTCTAGAGGTTTTATTGTTCACTTCATGACATCAACCTTTGCTCCATGAATAAGTTAGTGGGGAGTAAATTCATTGTCACTCAGGATCTGACTCTGGAGCAGGGATTCTCACATTCTTATAGCTGTAATTTTCACACCTGTTCATGTATTAATCTTCTTGAGAATGGCGTCATATTTTTGTGTTCACTATAACTGTTGGTGTAGGAATGTAAATTGACAACAGTAAAATTCAATAATGTGCTATGATTGTGGGTTCATTCACCTTAAAAAGAGACAAGGCCAAGTTTCATTATTCTTTTCAGTCCTCACTGTAGCGTTCATTGGAACAGCGCAGCAACTGTCAACTAAGATCCGGTCGAGTAGTGCACTTTCTGCCGTGGGACTCAATGCTATACCTTCACCGGGATGATTGCGAAAGCTGGCCATAGAATTTCCAGAAACCTGAAGTGTAAATGTTATGAACTCACCATATTAGCAGGTTGGGGTTAAATGAATAAACCCACTTGCATCTTGTATGCATGTCTTGCAAACACCACACATACCAAAGTTTTGGTCACCTAAACATGTTAGCCGATTTTACGGAGAGTGCAGACATTGAAAGCTCGACTATATTGCTTGCAGCGTGGTTTCAGGAGACCAGGGATGCTGTTTCGTGAATTCAAATCATTATCAAGAGCTGTAGAGCTGGAAGAAATTAAAGGTGGTGTAGGGATGTTGGCTGAGAGACGTAAAGGAATATTAAAAGGTAAGGGCATGGAAGATTGGTAATGATCTGAAGGGAATTGAGCTCTGACAGAGTTGTGAGCGTGACTGACTCTTTTTGGTTGCTCATTTCGTGGAAGACTACTCTTTCTTGAGGCATCTGAAAAATAAATTGGATAAGTAATGGTGCGTGACCGCAGAACCTAAGGGACATCATGATAATTTACAGTATTGACGGTCACTGCTTTTTGTCTTACCACTATTATACAGACCCTACTGTTATGTTAGGACCTCAGGGAAGCAGTTGTTCCCATCAGCATAGATCGTTATTTCACTGTGATATGCAAGTCCGCCAATGTTGCGGATATCTTTCGAGAGTTACTTCATATGTAATCTACATGTTGTTGAGAATGCTGACTAAGGATTCCACTCAACGCTGAGCTTCATAGTAGAATAGTCTATTTCATGTATCTCACGATGCAATATTATTTACTTAGTGACTTTTCATACGTAAATTATCTCTCATAATCGAATCATTTGGTAAAATTGGCAGCTTGAAAATGAATTATCCTCCTTGCTTATTACTCCATATCCAAAGTTTTCATTGGTCATATGATAGTTTCACTGCACATGACAGATGCACTTGGCGAATGATACACTCAACCTTTATTCAACATTTGATTATCTCACAGATAAAAGTTAGTACAACCCAGTCGAACCGTTTGTATCTGCGCTCAGATTTCTTCAGCCATCACACCACCAACACTGATTCAATTTCTCATGTTAGTAAAATGGTTAACTCGATCCACTGCTTTGTAAAGTGTTGTCAAAAGACAGTGTAAATCAATCTTAAAGCGGTTAATTATAATAGGATTAGACGTCTTAGGTTGCCAGTCAGTCTTTTGTCGCGTCTGTCAATTTGTTTGTGATATTGAATTGCACTAATTTGCTTAACTAGTTTCATTTGCTTTTTCCAAATAATTTACCTCAGATATAGTTTGTATTTTCGTAAGTCACAGCGTGTTTGAAATGAGATAATTCCAACGTTCCGCATGGAAGTCTGATCCGAGCTTTTTTTCCAGAAGAAGCTCGGACCTTCTACTCATTGCCCAATATTTGCTATGTGATTCGGTCAAGTATTGCTAATAGTCTATGTAAAGTAATTTACTTTATCCTATAAATTTACAGAGTGAAAAACCAGTCGCATATCTACTTGATCTAAATTTACCCTATGAAGTGAATTATACTGAAGGTACAGCAAAATTTGACAAGTCTGTTCACACCCTATTCATTACACTACCCGTTGTCAAAAATGAGGAATCAACTGTTTCTAAACTTAATGACAATACTGTAAATATTGGTAATAATAATAATGATAATGAAGAGGATTCAAAAGCTGTCCAATCTAATTCTACTACGAATACTTCTGATCATGAAACTGTCTCATCGAGCAATGAAAGTCGAAAACGTGCACGCCGTAAACGCCGTAAACCGAAAAACAAATCAAATACTTCAAATGGTATATTAAAAAGTACATTGAATACCTCACTCAATGTTCAACCATGTTCAGATAACCGCAACATCCTCTTGACTGGTAATGGTACTAAATTTACTGCTGTGCCTACTATCGAAAAGTGTGTACCACAAATAAATGAACTAATTGAACCACTGAGCAATGGTGAAACAGCACTTGAATCTGGAAATAATTTAGAAAAGAAAGAAGCTGTTAATTTGTCAGTTTACTGTAGAGGCGAAGTTGAAGTGAAGCAAGTTCCTAGTTCACAAATGATTTTGTCGAAAGACAGGTATCTTCGGAGTACAATAAATTTTACTGTTTTGTAATTGTGTTTTTAACTGGTGTACTGATTTTCCTGTTCTGCGATACTGATGATAATAAATAACACTAACAGACTTTAGTTCAGACACTAAATTATCGATACCTTTGCATTATTGTTCATGACACTCAGTAGTCTGCATCAATTTTAATATTGTTGCGACATTAATGTGACTGTAAGGAATTCGACTCACAACTCTTTTGTGAGGATTTGACTTGTGCACATGTAAGCTCCTATCCTTTGTGTACTGAGGTTATTTCGTAGATTTGTGAAATTGCTTATAACTGCAACATTACGTAAGTAGTTTTGAAGTCCTAAGATTAATGTTTCGGCACGATATAAAGGTCATTGCTGAGAGAATGAAGTCTTCTAAAATGCATAGCTTTCGTGGCGCAGACATTTTATGTATACTGTCCCAGTAGCTTCCATCCTATTCACTGTTTGCTGGGTCTGGAACTAACTATAAAAGGCAGAAAGGGGGTCAGTACTTACTTTGTAACAAGTTTTGTTCAATATCAGTGTAAACCATTGTAGAATCGTTGAGTGTGCGATATTCAAAGTATGTGTGAATTTTCATGAATAGTTGATGTTCCAGCTTAGAAGGTACGATTCTAGTCAGTCTGACATGCGTCACAACCAGTGAATTCATCAGTTACTGTTTTTATTGACAAAGATATTGTTAGAATCTTTGGTTACCATTCATGGCTTACTAAAATTTAGTACTTTTAAAATTTGTTTTTTTCTCCTTAAAATTAAATTTAGTGACATTGATATGCTAATCTTTCATCTTACCTTAGATACTTTGACAAGTGTTGTGATTGTTTTCACCTAAAAAGATGTCATTCAAGTACTTCATCGTAGGGTTTGGCATGAAATGATTCCTAAAAACGTAATCGATCATATTGGGTGTCCTGTTCTCAAGTTCCATTTGAATGCTGAATGATCAAATGTCTATCTTTATTTATCCACTGAAGATATCTGTATTTTGAGGGAGTTGTGGGGATTTGGAAATATTTCAAGTTGCTATTCATCGTAGACTGATATCAGTTGGAGCAACAGAGGAAACCTGGGAGCACTGGACAGCTGTTTCGTCCTAGTACGGGACTCCTCAGCAGTGGGCACCCATGGCCCCGCCAGGGATCGAACCCGCGACCTTCAGGTTCCGTAGCCACCACGTTACCATTGAGCCACTGGGTCAGAATTCAATGGCCCATATTTCCGACTTCTGTTAGCTCACGACATAGCGCAACCGCCACCCAATGTCATCGTTGAGTAACTGTCCTCACGTGGGTGCGCGATGCTGAGGAGTCCCATACTAGGATGAAAACAGCTGTCCAGTGCTCGCAGGTTTCCTTTGTTCCTCCAATTGATGTCAGTCTACGATGAATAACAACTTGAAATAATATCTGCATGTTAAGCTCTGTAAAACTATTCAGTATAGTAATAATAATAATGCCAAGTGTTAATTATATTTTCACTTCTTCTATTGCTTGAATTTGAAGGCGTTTATCACCGGTCCGTTTTCGTCAGGACCCGTCCTCTTTGACTATCCTGTTGGGTGTACGTGGTATATTGTCAACATCAGTTACGGTGAATTGGACTCATCCTATGCATTTAGACTCCCCTAATACTGGTAATATTTCTCATCCACAACCAACTCACTTACTTTTACTGATCACCTTCTCAAGTCGTGGGTCAGGTGGTTGTACCATGGATTGGGGCATAGTAATACGATGTCCATCTTCTCATTCCTTTAACGAATCCACTGGGAATTATGGAAGTGTTTCTGAATGTTTCAAATCACATCAGTGCAGAATGCCCCCTTTTGAACCTTCTCCTCCACAAATAATATCTTGTCTCATTTCTCTAACGAATGGAGTTTTGGTGATTCGAAAACCAATATGTAGTTGTGATAGTTTACCCACCAACAAAAAGCCATCTGGACTTTTAGCAGATCGGGCTATTTGGTGGAAGTCAGTCGCAATCGGACGTACTTTAACAGCTGGTATGCAAGTAAGTTACGATACTATTTTGATTCTTCTTTGAAATAGATATCGCAAATCCTTAAGTATTTTGAGTTAACTTCTAATCTAGGCGTAACATTGCTTGCTTTAAAAGGAATTGGTCATGACTTTTGCTCATGATTCGATACGACGGACAGCTGTGTTCATTTTGATTTTGACTCAAACCCGTTGAAATTTGAGTGCGAGAAAATTTGCCTTGATGTTGTATAATTGTGTTAGCGCTTAAATACTGTTTGCGTCTTGCAACGGGAGAATTTGATAATCCTGAAGGATCAGTCTATAATATTTTCAAATCAGTGTCAGCCGTTGCATCTCCATGGTATCCCATGACCGAGATAAGTCAATACAGCATGAATAAATCTGAGTAACTTCCTAATACCTTGGTAACTGAGTGCCATTCTTACATATTTTTCGCACTTAGTTGCCCAACTATAGGTGGTTTAAATAAAAAAACGCGTTTTCGTTGTGACTGCGTTACACTACTGTTTTAGGTCGCGCATTTGTAAGTAAGGAGTTACGATAACCGTAACTTTTGTGCGTGCCATTTGCATAAAGACTGACTTGTTATGGGGTTTGAGAAACTATCCACTTCTATATTTTAAATCAACCGATCGTTCAAAAATGTTTTATTTGGTTACATCGTGATCAAATAAATACAAGGCGTACCTAGTCGAATCTATATTCAGTTTGTTAGCATTATTCTAAATATATCTCTCCTAATCTTCAACAGTACTGTAAAATTTAAGGATGAGAAAAATCTTTTCTTGCAAACTTTTAGCTATCCTTCATAACTGGGAAACAGTTAGTCAACATTAAACTGCTACCTTATATCATCACTTGAAGGTACGAAAAACCAGGATAATAGATAGAGGAATAGAGACGAAAGTAGTCAGGAGTGCTTGCAAGCCATGGAAAAAGAACGAGAAGGAATGAGAAAGCAATGAGAGTCAGTGTGACGATAAAGATGTGAATCTTGCTTGGGTACATCTGCACCATTCGGATCGCTTTGGAAACATATCATGTAGAATACCAAACCACCGATTTCATTTGTCATGTAAACCCCAAATGGAAAGCTTACATTCCACTACACAGCTCACACCAACAGTCAGCAACTAAGTGGACTGACACCACATCTTAGTCTGGTCACAAATAATCTTGGTTCAGTCTAAACTTACTTTGGTGAACATTGTGTTGACGTGACCGATGACCAGGTATGCACAGCACATCCAGGTCGCCTCAATTGTTGACAACTCACTACATCAACTGACTCCTATCTTCTGCCGAAATCTCTACACCTGACTTCTGCATTGCTGACTTGGTGACAACACGACATGCAGCCTGTATTACGAAGGTAATGGTGGTTGGAGACCTGAAGTCTTCGATATCCTTACATCTCTAATTGCTGTTTCACACCCATATATTATAACAGAGAGAACTGCAGCGCATTACACTCGACCCTTAATAGGCGATTGGATATCATGCTAGCATCACAGATGCCCAAAGTTGGAAAAACCAAGCAAGCACTGTGTATTCGTGTGGAGATTTCGTCGGTCACTGAGGCATCAGGGCTGATATGACTTCTTAGGTAAATGAAGTGGTCAGAGCGCTCAACCACTTCACTTCATATTATTATGAAAGGCATCAGGGCAGACCAGTCCTGGAACAATAATTTGCACTTGGGTGATGAGAAAGGCATCCGAAACATTCTCGAATTGCTTCTCTAGTTGTTTAGAAGTCCTGGCATCTTCACCTAGCAAGAGTATGCCATCCAACTACCCTAGATCTACTAATGATTCGCCTGTGACATACATGTTCCACCCCTATGAAATCAGACGGCGAGAGGAAGGCCTCCATAAGTAGGTATATAACAAAGCTATTATGAATTGTGATAACTTGAACGGATGGACTTTTGTGCAAGATTCTACCTTGATGTGGTCTGTATGTACTTCAACACAGGCAGATTGAAGGCATACAGCCACCTGTCATTATTATCTCAAATCATTTATGAGTTTAAACTGGGTTGCCTAATTTCTCCACTCTTTGCCGTTGATGACATCTACGGTAAACCTCTGAAGTGGGTATCGGTGGATGAATAATTTTTAGACCCTCAATATTCGGGAGATATCGTTTTAATGTGCGGCAACTTTCAGATTACTCAAATTTGAATGCAGCCAATTAGTAACCGATGCCTGTAAGTACGATGTGTGCCTTGCACACCCAAGTTGCATTGTGTTTCAACAAGAATAATAGCAGGCTGTACTTGCACTCACCTTTGGTGGTGAACTTTTAAAAGCTGTTGGAAATCATTGTATATGTCTTATTGCGTATGTGTTGGTGGAGATGCGACTGATGAGATTTCCAACAGCTTATCGAAATTCAAACTGATGTACTCCCATCTGGATCACGTTTGGTGTCAACGTGGCAATATGTTTGTTGGTAAAGTTCGGGTGTACAATGCGTTGGGATGGGAATTTCTGCTCTACACCTGTGAAACTTGGAGTATCTTAGCTGAGGACGACTGTGGGTTCTGTGTGTTTGGTTACTGCTTTCTCTGTAGGATTGCTGTCATCCAATAGGAGACCATGGAAACATTTCTCAGCTGAATTGTCACGTGTTTAAACCTGATGGATTGAGGTCATCTTGGAACACCGAGTTCGCTGGTTTGGACGTGAGTTATTAATTGCCTCCAGTGGCTCCCAAACCGTCAACTATTCGCTGTTCATGGATCGGTTGTAAGAAGTGGAGAGGTGGTCACTGCATGACGTGGTGTCTCTGATGGGTAATTTTGTTGGTGCCTCATGACTACTTGGACAGGGTCTGAACTCGAGATAGAGATTGCGCAACTCTGGCTTGAGACGACAGCAGACGTAGCTTAGAATCGAAACCAGTGGCGATCATGCTGCATTTTTCTGGTTTTTGTTTTACGTAAAGGTGAGACAAAAGTGGTGAATACTTTTTTGGACTTACGTTTCATATCGCTTTTTTATAACATTTCTTTTTTGCCTCTGTTCCTCCATCCCTCTTGCTGTCATGGTTTCATCTTCATGGTGGTGCTAAAGCATTTTTGATGGTGCATCTGTCAGTACCCGCCTTGTATCATTTATGGGTTTTTTATAAAAGAACAATCTTTTATTTTCAAGGGTCACGTCTCGCAATTAGAAAAGAGCAAACTACTTTGGAACAAACCAGTCCTTCGATAATTAGTCAAATGTCTTGTGGCAACATAAATGTTGCGAAATGGCAAATACCAATAGAGACCTTTCAAAATCAAGCTAAGTGACTCAGAGACCGACTTATTTTGGACTTACGCAGCTTTCCACTTAAGTGACACGATCAACTCACTCTGCCACTTCATCTGTCTTTAAAACAGGAAAGGCTACAGACCAGTCCTAAAGCATTACCCTACGTTTAATAGGCGCAAAACACATGCCAAACATTCTGAGATTCTTTCCAAAAGCGTTCAGAACACTGGATTGTGTCAGCACCTTTACCTAAGAGGAATATGATGCTTGGGTATTCCAAATCACAAGGATACTCTTCTAGGGGGAAATCATTCCCGGAAAATTCCAAAGTAATTAGGGTTATGTCCATCAATCCATTTTTAGTTAAGTTGATGAAGACTGGTATTAGTCGGATTCTTGATAGGTATCACTGTTGATCATTACTTCAAACGATAACTTTATGTAAGTCGGTATGGAATCAAGTAATTTTGAAAAGTAGCCTTGATTAATATTATTCACTTGTTCGGTACTCTCTTCACAGTCAGGCACTACCACTTAACCTCAATTTATGAGTTCGAATGCCACCAGGTAAAAATTATGGAAATTATGAGGCACCAGTAAGTATTCATATGCTCCAAAACCTGACAAAGGGAAAAGGTCTGATCTATATGCCGTCGTCCAGACATGAAATCTGTCCAGTCTTCTCTAGTTTGTTGCTTTAGAGCTCATGTTAAGCCTCGTATAACTATGGACCCTAAGATTTTAAACACAATGTTAGTGAAACGAATCCACCTGGGAGTTGCCATACGAAGACCTCTTTCTGTAGACAGATAAACGATCCAGGAGTACTTCTGATTCCTGTTCATTGGGTAGTACTTCAGTTAATCTATGAAGTAATTTTACACTTCCACACTAAAAACCTCTCATGGTAAATCACCAGGTCCTACTAGTTGGCTTCTTTTAGGTTTAAAACAACCTTAATTTTATTGAGATTTGGAGAACTGAGATATTTATCCTACTGGGTTCCGGACTCGATGTTGGGCAACTAAAGCATGACCGTAGGCCAGTCAAACTGTTCTTCAGAGCGTTCCACTCAACGTCCCAACTGCCTTTCCTGTGAGGTAACGGTGACTCATCCTATTACACCATAGTCTTGGTTACCATCTTCTTGCCTCTTTATAATTTCTAAGTAGTTATCGAGCATTACCTTTTTCTTATCCCCTCACCATCCATCATTCCCGTTGGTCGTTTTAAAGACTTAGTTTGCGTTTGAGTTGGTATCACTCCTCACTTTGATCAGAGCCAGCACCACATCAATTTGTTCAAAGAAGGTTGCAGAGATCCACTGCATTTTACTAACCTTTTGATGCAGAGTACTAATTGTCTCGATTGCTGTTTCTACAACAGGCTCAATTTTATACCAGTCTTCACGCGGATGAACGTTGCTATCTTGTTCACATAAATGCCTATTTTAAATGCACCTTTAGTACTTTCATCTTCTCTAGTTCAGCACATAGTGGCTTTATTGGTGCATGTTTTTTGCATCCACCGTGGCGAAAACACCCACGTGACCATGCTGATGCATGATCGACTAGTGTCCAGTTGGGAAGGGCGATTTCCATTCTACACCTTAAAGCTGTATTCAACCCAGCTAGGCCACGTGAACTAACCATTGCATCTCTGAATATTCGTAAAGTATATATTGCAGACTCATCATATTTTCCGAGTTAGGCCAAGTGCCTAACCACATTCCGATCCTATGTGCGCGTTTCAGAAACGCAGAAGACATCTGTTGCTTGAGGTTCCAGAGTTTTGATAAGTTAAACTTGTTGTCCACTTCAGCATATAATTTGGATGTTGAAAACTGTGATACGAATTGGCAGTGTAGCTTTGGGGGACTGTTAATCGTATTTTTGGATCGGATCCTTAAAGTTTGGTTGTTGGACTATTTTTTTTACAATGGGTACGACATTGGCTTCACTCCAAAGTGATGGAACACTCAGTTTGCCACACGCCAAAGAATGCAGTCAGCTTCTCGACTTCAGTGTCACCTCCATCCTTAAAATGATCAGGGGTTAATTTATTCTAACTGAAGTCTTAATGTTGCTTTGCAGTTGCAGATCCTTCTAGATGTGAGCTTTGTAGTGGTTGCATCGCATATAGCCAGCTCTCTGAAGGTAATGGTAATGGAACAGCTGGAGCATTCTTATGACATCCGCTCTTAGTGATCATGTTTCAGACTCATATAATGGGTCAGAGCGAGTTGCTGTATATTGTAGACAGTCGGATATTTCAACGACAGTCATTGAAGTTGCTAAACTAACCCATCCATTATGTCACACTGTGGTAGTGTAAATGTAAAAACAGTGTTCATGTACTATGTTAGTCTTGTTATTCAAACATATTAAGTTAATAAATGTGTACGCATAATTTGATTTTCTCTTTGTAAGCACTTGGTTCAAAGTTATGTATACGAGAATTAACAAGTTGGTCAAAAATCCTGTTCAGCATCGTTTCTTCATCTAGTATCGATATGGAAAATTTACTTTTCATAACGTTCATTATCAAACACAGATATAAACTCACTAGGTGCTTGACTTTATTTCAACTTCTGTTTGTCACAATCTGTTCTTACTGCTCTTCACATTTCTGTTTACCGTCTTCACAGTTAGGTTAACACTAATTCCTTATATTTTATCCAAAATTTAGGAATGTGCATTCATGGGATGGAATCATTTTTGTTACATTCTGATTACCTTCCTATTTCATCTAATTGTCGTCAACCAATCAGTAATGCATCGTGTTCAGTTCTGAGCTCGCTTGAAACGTCTTCAGGGAGCAATAATTTATCCTCGAAACCTCTGATATATGACCAATCACTTCATAAAAACTCATCAAAGCAACAGAAATTGAAATCACTGCGTGTCACCTCATTATCTAATGAATGTTGTTCTATTGAATGGAATCCTAATTTTGATTCAGCAGTTTCTGCAAGTGACCACACGTTTTGAGGTCAATGAGAAAAGTCCCTCTATCCTTACATCTAATGAAATGATCAGTGGTTATCAACATCTCAGGGGATTGGATCGGGTTGGTAGAATTATGATCTGTCTGCTACCAAGCGTTTTCGGCGTAATTCCACTCCCTGTAATTCAGGTCAAGCAAATGGCCAAACGATGGTGATGTTGAAAGGTATTCTTAAACAACGTTCAGTATCAGGTAGATATTAATATTCAAATTATACGTTGTCATGATTATTAATACTATTATTGTTGTTATCATCATCAGTATGACTAGTAACAGCAATACAACTGTGTAAATATTAGTTGCTACAGCTCGTTTGGCATACCAAATGAGCCAAACGTCATAATATACAGCTAGACCAACAATACTCTCTGATCCTTGTATCTGTGCTTAGAAGGAAAGTTCAATAGTTTTGCTCTGAGTCTAACCATTTACACAGTGGATACCATATCTGTGATTTTTAGTGATCTTGACTTTTGTAAGATTCTGCTAAAGCCGCCATTATTAATAACTACGTGATTAGTAAAATTAAGAAATCCTCACAGAAATCTAGGATAATTTTCCACTCACATGGACAACGAAAAAACTCTTCTGAGACAGTAAGTAATCTTTGAAGTTTCAAGCGGGATTCCTAAAACTTAACCTTTTTTGAGACTGGTTAACTTTTAAGGTAAAAAAAAATCGTCTCTTAATTCTCGTTTAGTTACTAAAGTAGTTCTCATAGCTTGTGTTTACCTATGACATAAATTGTAAGATTATATATATACATATATAATTACTGTCGACTTGACACATTGGCCAACCTAATTTGGAAACGTTTGTGCTTTTTTTGCATTCAGTTGTCATTTTAAAGGGACCATTTGTAGTGTACAGATTTCGTTCACAATCTACTAACTTTTTCCAAACAAGTCATCGGCAAACAGCTGATTTTTTTTCCTGGATTATTTTATGTTTCGGAACTATGGCTCACTACTCTAGGTGCCGACTTTAAGCCACTGGGTGATGCGTTCGAACGCAACCACACTTATCGAGTTTTGGATTGCTAGTTGGCATCATTAGCGTTCATGTAATAGGTGTGGTTGATTGCATAGTGCGTGCACAAACTTGCATATGGTTGCTGAGTTATGATTACTATCCAAATAACCGTTTTCAAATATTTACCAACAATTCCTTTTTAGAATTTTTTTCCACTCATCAGTCGTGTGAACCATCTACCAATGAACTAAACGTCTGCCGTATCCGGATGACAACCTTTCTACTAAGTAATTAATGAATTGTAGGTTTTATCCCCGATCGAGTTTAGTTTTACGCAGCAAAGCGTATCACTGAGTATTGTTGAATGTGGTCACTTACCTGTCGTGTCAGTAATTTCAGAGTTAATGTTGATGTATCAATCACTAGGCTTTACCTCCTTATTGAAACCTATTGTATTTTTCACTATATTATGGGTAACTTTCACATCCTTGAACGAATCAGTAAAGAACTTTTGTCTCAAACTGCTTTTATCTTTAGTGATTATCGGATTTATTGTCAGTTAATTTATTTCATTTATATGTAGTCCCCAACTGATAAGCTGATTCATACTGGCCTATGTAAACACTTATTTCAGTTACCATTCTTTTGTTACTGAACGCAGTTCAAGTATCATACAAGAAAGCACTGACAATCCAAAACAATTGTGTATTACAGTCATCGTGCTACAGTACAAAGTTTTGACACCCGTGTCATATTTTAAGGTTAATACTCTTTCAGGAATATCCGTCAATTACGATTTTTTATTTTTTCTTCACAATACATTTATCTGTATGGATCTAGCTCTATTTGATTTTTCTCTCCTTTGTATTCGTATGCTTCTTTATGCAGAATCTAGTGGCGATGAAACAGGTATTTTGGAGGCAAATAACCTACGTGGTGCTGGACTTGCTGGTTATAGAGATAATCCTTTGTCGTCCGATGAATTTCCTACTGCGAGCAGCGATGAAAATCATGAGCTTATTTCATCGGAGCAACACTTTAATTTTCGACGATGTATATCTTCTGATAAATTGTCAGTTGTGGAAACCACTCAAAAGATATCCAATGTAATCAGTTACCTGTATGCAGACCACGATTAAGGTCTGTAAGTTTCTCTCAACACGATCAGCGTGTTGATTTCTCACCAAGAGACACAGTAGAAGCATTACATCATACATTGTGCAGCAGACGGTGAGTTTAATTAATTCGAGTGTCGTTATATGCTATTTGTCTGACGAAATGGATTATTTTTACAAATTAGAAATTATTGCGACACTCGTGTCTCAGCGATGTAAGTTAGTAGTTGGAACCTACTCTTTTTTTACCGTATGGTGTGTGGTGAGTAGTTTTCATGTGCACAGTACACAACCCTGTATTTCCCTACTAGGTTAAGAGAGATATTTTGCTCAAGAATATTTTCTAATCCACCTTTGATTCAGGATTTACAAGATCTAACCGTCTATAAGGTCATTTTAGTCAGTGGGTCGGATTGGTACATCAGCTAGGCGGCAGGTGCAGTTCATCAACGCGTACATGCTCACTGGGCGTATTTCTAAGTTTTCCGTCAACTAACTAACATTTTATAATGCGAATGGTAAGTTATAGCAGAAATCTTTTCTATAAATATGCAGTAGCGTGCTAATTTGTCTTAAAAATGTCGATTATTCACCCGAAGTTCTGTTAAGGTGTGTTGCAACAGCTCACTGCTTTGAAGTTGCCTATACTAATTAATAACCTTTCTTGATGACCTAAGTGGATGAAATACATATTCTTGGCTAGATTGCATCAACTTCCTCCTTTAAATACGGAGCTTTTATACAATGCGGTGGATTGCAATAAATGCCAATGCTATTACAGCTACTTAAAGGAGAGGTGTGATGTTACCTTATCAAGTGATTGTCAATTGTGAGCAGATACATACAAGTTGTTAGATAACAAGCGGATCGAAGTATATATATATATATATATATATATATATATATATATATATAATATATATATATATATATATATATATATATATATATATATATATATATATATATATATATATATATTGAAGTCATGCAGCCTACGATAATTATTTTGTCCCATTCACCTTTTAACTTTCTCCTTCAAGGATATTCACTTAATGTTTCTATGGATAGTCAATCTTCCTCTCACATTCCTAACGATCTCCAATTTAATCATTTATGTTATCCATGCTACTAGTTGGTTATGTCAATAACTTCTTATCGGGTTGTTCAAAGTATGTTCAGTTCCTTTATGTCCGCATTCTGATGTCATTTAGGTTGTGAGCAGTCGAGGGGAATCCTCTCGAAATAGCAGAAATAGATTCATAATATCCTGTACACTTATTGTTTTTGTATTGTTCAAGTTTATAAGTGAGAAGAGTTGTTTGAAGTTTAATTTCAATCCACTGGCCTTCCCGCAATGACAAAAATGGTGGTTATGTGATAGTCGATCCGGTATACAGCGAATAGGCACATTCTATGTGTTACCTAACTCACCTAAAGGTTCTTGTTTAATGGCTATGATTTATTTCACCTCTTTCTTACTGTGTTATAATAATTGATGGAATTTGGCACTCGATTAGAAAGTTCATTTTCTGCATCCCAGGTAAATAACTCTAAAAAAAGTCTTGAATTTTTTGTGCAGATCGATGTGAGCAAGTAAGAAACACTTTCTTTCGCTGTCGAAAGTGAAGTCCATCTCATTGTTAGCATGTATTTAGATTTTCTTCATCCTGAGTCGAATAAGGAATACATTTCTGCCTCCATATTTATTTTTACAGGTTGTCCATAAGGTTCATGCGGAGTCTAATTTAGTTGTAAATTCGCAAATTTCACATTAACTTTACTAGTTGTTATTCCACTTTGCTACTGTCTGATTTTTTCAAGTAGGTTACGTCTTTAAGTGGTTGCACTCTTGGAGTAATGACAGTTACAGTTACTGCTGTTCGTCCTATAAATAACCGTCAACTCTGTCCTGTAGTTTTTCGTTTTCTATTATCGTGAATAATTCGAAGACAAGAACTCTAATACAACTTTGAAATGAAGTAAGTCAAATCACTAAAAGGTAAATAGGTTCTATCATCATATCAACCTCAGACCAGGTAGCATACTGCTGTATCGATTCTTATATAAAATCAAATACCTTTTTACTATAGAATTCATGATTAGCATACCATGGAAACTTGGTTTCACACTACACTTTTATCTAAGCATCTGCTTCTTAATTTATATATATAATCGTATAGTGTAAAATATTTTACTCCACAAAAGACTTTGCATTGTATATATTGATTGTTCGTTCATAGAAAAAAGCTTCGACGGCGTGACGCTCGTCATCGTCGGGGAAGTGATCGCAGTTCAAATCATTCGGACAATGAGAGTGGGAAAAGCGCTTCAAAGCTGGATGACGAAATTAATGTCTGTACACGTATTGTATGCGAGTCCCAAATAATACTTATTCTTTTCCACCAAAAATGAAGCTCTTTTCAAGGGGAATTCCGGTAAGAATTTTCTAAATCTCGAATAGCTATTCGGTTGATGATGTGGTAGTATTTTGTTTTCATTATCATTTACTTGACGAATACTTTAAAGGACTAAGTTAGTATCAACGTTTTTTCCTCATAGGCAACTTGGCTACTGAATCGTGTGATATAAATTCTACCAAAAGCCTTCACGACAGTGTGTTTCAAGTCTCTTCTATCCCCAACATAACGGAATCCAATAATGATATCGATGATGAATCTGAATATGTCCATGTTGGAAATCCTAACACAGGTCTTGAAGACAATGATAAACCTACAACAGGCTTTCCAGTCGCGTCAACACATACAAATAATTCATTATTCAGATCTGGTTGCAATGAAACTAACAATGTCGGTGATATGACACATTACAACATTTCAGCTGTTCACCTTACTTCCTCCTCTATTTTAGAGTTAGATGAAGAATAAATGTTTTTCTGCGAAATGTCTGTTTTACCAAACTTTTGGAATAAGCTTTTTCTCATTGATGCAGTTTCAGACTTACCTTTTGCGTACTTTAATGTCAGTTTGCATGCCATATAAAATCCAGTTGGCTAAACGTTAAAACTCTTGACGTTTGATTGACTGTCCATTCTTTTGGTAGTGATTTCGACATCGCGTTACCCTGTAAAATGGCTTCGCAGTAGATCAGTATTCTTCTGCCAGTAACCTTTCCATGCAGTTTTGAGGCTGTTTTCATAAAAAACTGAGTACTTGTAGAGTAAATATTATCATAAAAACACTTTAAAAGAGTGTATCAAGTGAAGTATCAGCATCTAACACAAGCGTTCTTCACAAGAATCAGGCATCATTATGCATGTGCTTTATCTATAATACGGTTTGAAACCAGATTGACAAAATCAACATAAAAAGCTGTATATCCCTGAATCATTTTACAACTAATCGTTTTGTTCCGAAGTTTCAGGAGAAAGCACGAGAACCGTGTGAATATAAGATTGGTTGGAGAGACAAAAATCGAAAGGAAATTCTAACCTTGGAAGGCCTGAAAATAGCCAAGGCCATTGTAAGCATACATAAGCCCGTTGTAAACTCTACCATTTGGGTAGAACTCGAATACCCTATGGCTATCACCACTGCGTCCCAAATATTATCTATATCGAATATATCTAGTGAAACCGATGGGCACGCTCTACTGTATTCTTTGCCCATTACATGCTACTTTTCTCCACTGTACAAATGAAATGGAAAGATAACCGTCAGAACTAGCTGTCCGTTAAACTACTGTACCTAATTCACACCATATCACATATTTGGTTCGGTGTTAAGTGACCAGGCAAGTTATCCCACAGTCTGATACACGGAAAATAAGCAAGTGTGTTGTGGGTTGTGAAGTTATTCGAAAATCCTTCATGCACGCTCTTTAGGACTATATTCGCATTTCACTGTGCAATTTTGTGTCTTTACGGGAAAATAGTGTGATAGACATGTATTTTACAGTTGTTGCTAAATCTCATATCAGTAAGTGATTTTTTCCCTATTTGGGAACTTTATTTTTATGCTTTTCTTTTTTACTCTTTTTCTATTGTAATTCGCCATTTATGTCGAAGTCCTGCACTGCTCCCCACACTTGTTTCACTGCGCACAAAGTTGTCCGATGAAGCTACAACAGAGATTTCGAGGTATACTTGTTTGATCTGAATCTTGTACAGAAATATTTGGACATTATTGCCGGGACTATTTCCACTGTCGTAAGCATAAATAACTTCCGTTTTCAGCTAACGGTTTTCACCATGAAAATTGACATTTTTATTATCAAGCCTTGTTCCTTGATTCTATAGTGCCAAGCTCGCAGTATAGAAGTAATACATGTTGTACATTTAATTTTGACGAAATATTATAACACGTAATAGTATCAAGTGTGATAGAAACTTGTAGAGTACACCATCGGTACTAAATACTACTAGATTAAAAGTAAATAAATAAACATTCAAAATTATCGAAATAGTAGCTAAATAATCCTCAACGGCGTCAACAGGTGTCTTCAGTTTTGTTGGCTTTCTTTACTGTGTATGCATTCGCGCGTTGACATTTGCCATTTCCGCGTCTTCCTTGCACTGATCTACAGCTACACACTCAGAGTTCATTGTTTAGCCATCTACAGACAGATGCATCTTAACTTCTACCTTTTGCTTTAACCTGATATATAAACTGCCCCTCTAAGCGCTTCTTTATCTTTTGTTATCAGTACTTACAAGTAGATAACATGCTAATTAGTTTGGTACTGGCGCACACCAACTGATCATGTGTCTGTCAATAACCACACATTTAGGCTTTTACCGTATGCTAGAGGTACATTTGAGCTTTTTTGTCTAAGAGAAGGAAGGGGGACAAAGGAAAAATAACGCAATCATACTTTTCAGTCCATTCGAGTCTTTCCTTTATATCGAATCTTTATTCGGGCTTTATATGAAATTCCGTCCAGAATACTTGAATGTCGCTCAGTACAAAAGATCGATTGTGTTGGTGCACATCAGATGAACGGCGTATGGTGTTATCCGACAGACTTCTGACTCACACTGAACAACCTATCAGGATCTCGCATATTCGAAGAAACCCAGATAAGTCATTAAAGGACAGAATATAAAATAGACTCATATTTTTAACGTTTCTGCAAATCTAATTCAGCAATGTGACTCACACTCACTGCGGCAGCGTTCGTTTTATGAAAGTTTCCTGTATTGTTAACATATACGTATCTATAAATTACTGATATATGTATAATAATATATGTCCAATGCATCAAAATGTTTCTGAATTATATTCCTAACAGGAACTAATGGCTAACGCACATTGCGAATAGAGCCTGTAAATTTGCGATCGCAGTGAAATTCGTAAGTTGCTTAGTGGGTAAATAATTGATTGAATGCCTAGAATTCATTCATTCCGTCGTACACTGGTCCTTATCAAAGGTAATCTAATCCTATTACTAACGAATTTGTCATAGCGGAGAAATAATTCAGTAAGTTTGGTAGTGAATCCTGAAATCCCAACTTACCCTTTTCAGGTATAAAGCCGTAATAGACTGTACATTTTTACCAGAAAGTACTTATTATAAGCCCATGAAGAAGGTACTAAGAATTAGTCCGTGAAGAGATTAATCTGTAAATAGAGTGATGAAAAGGACAAACAAGTAATGAGATGCAAAGTTAGTTACCTGTGAATTTGAAAATGCAACATGAATGCGGAAACTTGTGGAGGTGAAGTTAGGAAACAGCTGTACCGGCAGATTGAAAACATGAAAGTAAAAAAATACTTCTATTCCTTTATATAATAAATGTATTTCGTTGCATTTATACTGTAATTACTTCATTACTAATTAATTTTTGTGACTTTGTCTACCATTTCAAAACCCGTATAAGTTTGAACAAGTATTCTATTGGCTGTGTATCCTCTTTCCTACACTGTTTCCCGTTGTCACATTCTCAGTATCTTTCGTTTGTTTTACTACTTTGGCGTATTTTAACACGCGAATTCTTGTACAGGTTTGTCATCTCTCCTTAACTGTTATCTTGTATTATCGTCTGCCGTATCTGTTGTGCACATAACTTAATTTACCACCATCAATTCTTTACCGGAACGCTTTTGACATGTATAAAGATATTTTTGGTAGTAGTTTTTGGAACTTTTGAATTGAAGGACTTTCACCAAATGTATAGGATACAAAGATAAGTGGAAACTACTTTCCCCTTTTGTTTGAACAAATTTGTTGACTCCTATATACCTCTTCTGTTTCTGTTTGTATATATTTAAAGTTAGAACGAAGCTTATTTTGCTGATATTCTCGAGAAAACTTCTAGATCCAGAAGTTTTGCTTGAAATAGTCGTGGCAGAGGTTAGATTTAATGAAGCTGTATGGGCAGTTTGGAGACTCATACCAAACTCCTGCCAGCCAGCCGAGAGACATATTGTTGGTTGATTCTACGATAGTTTAAAAGGTCCCTATGAGGTGGTGGTATCCAACTTGATTTTAGAATTACTCGGTGACACTACTGGTATCAGAAATGACCTGCTCTGTTATATCCCTGTAATTTTGCCTGATATTTGACTATAGCCTTGAAATAACTTTATCACTTCTGTTTTCCACTGCTTCTGAAGGCTGGGCCCATTGGTTGTTAACTCTTTTAACTTACTGGCGAACTTAGTGTTTGTCAGGATCGTTTAGAATGTATCGCTCTCAGCTGCTTTTGACTGTTGTCGAGACAGTAATAGCTCTCTGTCAACGGCCCATCTCTTCTTGGAGTACGCTAAGAATACAAATTGGCCCTGTCTGCTACCTCTGCCCACTCTGTACCACCATGTCGTCTTTGTGGTCCTGATCTGAAATTCAAGAGACAACACTCTGAACATTCTTTTCCCCATGACTATATAAAGCGTGTTAGTCACTAAAGCAAAAAGTATGACTTTAATCTGACTGTGTACATTAGTTTTCTGCACGTAAGCGCGTACCTACATCCATACCCACCCCTTTCTCTGTTCTATCGCCACATTTTTGTATTCAGTTTTGTTTTCAGTACTTCTTCCCCATAAGCTGATCTCTGGACAGTTGGGTTAGAATACCACGTCAAACAATGTTTTTAGCCACTACATTAAACTGAACCACATGTATCATGATGGATGTGCTTCCGTGTATTAGTTTTGTGCTTCGATTTTGAGTTCGGCCCGCTGCTTACTTTTTTCCTTTTCCGGGTCTGGCTTATCAGTTCATCATTCGTATGGGATCCTGGTAATCGTAGTTGTTAGCACATGTTATACCGTCAGGACTTCATAAAGAACACAGGATCGAGTGTCACAGCTGTAATACGGTATGCCCCCATATCTTCAAGAATATTCGATGATTCAAACAATGACGGTATAATTCCTGATTCGGAACCGAACTTGCTTTGAGCTACTACACAATTATGTTGGTTTTATCTGCTTCATTCTTCGGTATCCTTAAAATAATAACGCTTTATATCCAAACTCATTTCCTACGTGCCTCAAATAATTATTTCTAATGTACTGCGTGTTACTGACCATAACAATGAATTCATGTTACCAAAGTGATCATACCTGCAAACTGGTTGCTTTCGCGCTCCCTATGTTGTATAAGATATATATATATATATATATATATATATATATATATATATATATATATATATATATATATATTGGTATTGTAAAGTATTTCGACGTTCCGAACTCGAATGCCGTGCAGTTTTAGTGTAAGACGAAAAAGGCTAGTTTTGTTGTAATTGTCAAACACAAGACTAGTGATGCGTAAATTTGTGTGCTAGTTTCAGGCCAACCGCTACTATATCTACCTGTAAGTACTGCTAACAACAGACGCAAAAAACACGTTGGACAGTAAGAAACGCCAAGAGGAGCATATTATTTAATAAGCTGAAGCGAAAGAGTTATTTACCTAG